CTCGGCTCACTGCAACCTCCGCCTCCCACATTCAAGTGATTCTCATGCCTCATGCTCCCGAGTAGCTGGGATTGCAGGTGCCTGACACCACGTCCAGCTAATTTTTGTATTTTTGGTAGGGACAAGGTTTCATCATGTTGGCCAGGCTGGTCTCAAACTCCTGACCTCAGGTGATCTGTGTGTCTCAGCCTCCCAAAGTGCTGGGATTACAGGTATGAGCCACAACACCCGGCCTGGGATGTACCTTTTTCTATAGTGAACAGCAATAAAGAAAAATAGATACCAAGTTATGTGGCATTTCCTGCTGTGTCAGCACTTTGCTTTTCTGAACTCTATTAATTCATTTTCAGCTCATACTAACATTGCGAGACGAGTAAGGCAAGTATCATTTAGCGTTTCTTTGTAATAAGAAAATAGAAAACAGCAGTGGCTTGTCTGAAGTGACATTCTCATTGGGATAGAACGGGGCCTAAGCCAGGTTCCCCATAACCCACAAATATTGTCCTCCCATATTCTACCATAGCCCCAAGGCTGGTTCCTTCACAAGATAGTGGTTGTGGTCCCTTATTCTAACCACTGCACCTCTGCCCTTAAAGCACTGACTTTCTGGGGCCCTGAACCCTCTAAATCACTCAGCTCCAACCAGAAGAAAAAAACTGAAATACTAGACAAATTTTGTTCTGAATACTCAAGTATTACAAGGCAAGAAGATAGGGGATTTATCCCTTGGAAAAAGAATTTGCAAAATCAGGCCGGGTGCAGTGGCTCACACCTGTAATCCTAGCACTTTGGGAGACTGAGGCAGGCAGATCACAAGGTCAGGAGTTTGAAACCAGTCTGATCAACATGGTGAAACCCTGTCTCTACTGAAAATACAAAAATTAGCCGGGCATGGTAGGGCACGCCTGTAATCCCAGCTACTCGGGAGGCTGAGGCAAGAGAATCGCTTGATCCCAGGAGGCGGAGATTGCAATGAGCTGAGATCGCACCACTGCACTCCAGCCTGGGTGACAGAGCGAGACTGCGTCTCAAAAAAAAAAGCAAACTCAGACATTAAAGAGGATTCTGAGATTTGGCACTAAAATTGTACACAGGATTACAGGGCATGCACTGAGGGTGTTGGCTGAGTGACCAGGCATCAGTGCTCCTGGGGACACAGTAGTAGCCTTGCTTTCCTCCGATTCAGTCACAGGAAATCATATCAGACGTGGATGATTTGCAGAGATTATGAACTTTCTTTGATGTTTACTTTTTAAGAATTGAGCTATTTCTGACTTTATTGAATGACCTTTTGAGAATTAATTTTGCATGAACCTGACCCTCTTTTTCTTTAACCAGGTTGTGACTATATTTTCTGCTTCTAATTATTACGAAGAAGACAGCAATCGAGGAGCTTACGTCAAACTATGTTCTGGTACAAATCCTCGATTTTTCCAGTACCAAGTAACTGATGCAACGTGCTTTCAACCTCTTCACCAAAGGTGGGTATACTCTACAGAGAATACCGAGCACTGGTATCATGGACTCATTAGAACCAGTCCCAAATCACTAAGAGCAGCCACATGAGTGAAGACAGCCATTTATAGGTTGCTCATTAGTATCAACAAAATGGAAATCGTTCCAGACACCAAGTGGTGAATGCACTCATATTTGAAACAAAAAGGAGCAATTTTAAATTCATACATCCTTTTTTTTTTCTGAGACTGAGTCTCACTGTCGCCACGCTGGAGTGCAGTGGCGCGATCTTGGCTCACTGCAACCTCCTGTCTCCTGGGTTCAAGTGATTCTCCTGTGTCAACCTCCTGAGTAGCTGGGACTACAGGCAGGTGCCACCACACTAGCTAATTTTTTGTATTTTTAGTAAAGATCGAGTTTCACCATGTTAGCCAGCATGGTCTCGATCTTCTGACCTTGTGATCCGCCTGCCTCGGCCTCCCAAAGTGCTGGGATTACAGGCATGATCCACCGCACCCAGCCCATACATCTTTTTAGATAGATAAGGCAGTTAGTCCCCAGAAACATAACTGAATGCAAAGAAAAGAAGATTCCCACACCCACTCAGTCCCCTAACCTACAACCTTCTCTCACCCACAAAGAGCCCTATCTGGTTTTGCCCCAGAAGTATGTGACTCAAATAGTGTCTCTCTCCATGTGATGGCATTCATAGCTTATCTTCCTATCTTCCGTTTCTCCTTTTAACATTATCTTTTTAAGATTTTTTTTTTTGAGACAGAGTCTCACTCTGTGGCCCAGGCTAGAGTGCAGTAGCGTGATGTTGGCTCACTGCAACTTCCTCCTCCCCGGTTCAAGCAATTCTTCTGTCTCAGCCTCCCCAGTGGCTGGGATTACAGAAGTGTGCCACCACGCCCAGCTGATTTTGGTATTTTTAGTAGAGACAGGGTTTCACCATGTTGGCCAGGCTGGTATTGAACTCCTGACCCCATGTGATCAGCCCGCCTCAGCCTCCCAAAGTGCTAGGATTACAGGTGTGAGCCACTGCGCCTGGCCTAAGATTTTTTACATTATAAAACTAACGTGTTAGTTAACAACTGGAAAAAAAAAAAAGCAAAGAAGAATAAAGAAAACATTAATGATCTCCTCTCCCTTCTCAATTATCCTTTTCCCCAGAGGTAATTAAAACTAGCAGCTAACTAGTTTTAATTACTAGACTAAAACTAGACCTAACTCATTCATTAGAATTGTTCCTTCCATCCTCTTATTGCTCCTACAAAAAGAGACAAGCAATTATTCAGTCATTGAATTTAAAAAACCTTTGAGTACTACCATGTGTCAGGTACTGTTCTAGGCATATATAATACAAGATAGGCCAAAGTCCCCTCATTGAACACATATCTCAGAGTGAAGAGAAAGATGATAAAACAATGTATATGCTTTTTTGTTTTTTGAGAAGGAGTCTTCCACTGTCACCCAGGCTGGAGTGCAATGGCATGATCTTGGCTCACTGCAACCTCTGCCTCCTGGGTTCAATCCTCCTGGATTCTCCTCCCTCAGCCTCTCGAGTAGCTGGGACTATAGGAGTGTGCCACTATGCTCGGCTAATTTTTGTATTTTTAGTAGAGATGGAGTTTCCCCTTGTTGGCCAGGCTGATCTTGAACTCTTGACCTCAGGTGATTTGCCCACCTCAACCTCTCAAAGTGCTGAGATTACAGGTGTGAGCCACTGCGCCCAGCCTGTACATATACATTTTTTTAAAAGAAAGATAGAATCACACTGCACACTGTATTCTGCACCTGAATTTTCCCCTAAAAATTATATCATGAACATCACCCCAAGTTAGTAAAGATAGACCTAACTCATTCTTTTTAGTACATGCATAATATTCTGTAGTATACAAGTACCATAACAATTATGGAGCAACTAAATCTTGTCCAGTTGCTAGACATCCAGATTGGTTCCAGGGTTCTGCATTTAAAAACAAGGCTATAACTAGCATTCCTACATATAAGGAACGCATACAACTTAACAGCAAAAAAAACAAATAATCCAATTTTTAAAATGGGCAAAGAACCTGAATAGACATTTTCCCAAAAAAGACATACAAATGGCCAACAGGTTTATGAAAAAGTGCTCAGTGTCACTCATCATCAGGGAAATGCAAATCAAAACCACAATGAGATACCATCTCACACCGGTTAGAATGGCTGTTAAGAAAAAGGTAAGTGTTGGCCAGAGTGCGGAGAAAGGGAACACTTGTACTCTCTTGCTAGGAATGTGGATTATTACAGCCATTATAGAAAACAGTACAGAGATTCCTCAAAAAGTTAAAAATAGAAGTACCACATGGTCCAGCAATCCCACTACTGGGATTATGTATCCAAAGGAAATGAAATCAGTATCTCGAAGAGATATTTGCACTCCCATGCTCAGTGTGGCATTATTCATGATAGTCAAGATATGGTAACAACCCAAGTGTCTAGCAAGACAGAGAAAGAAAATGTGACTGATGTAGGTGAGTGGATTTATATATTATATTTACATTATATATATTGTATATATCACATCTGCCTATCTATCTATCTATCTATCATCTATCTATCTAATCATTCCTTGATATTTGTAGGGAATTGGTTCCAGAAGCCCTCTCGGATACCAAAATCCCTACAGGCTCAAGTCCTTTATATAAAAATAGCATAAAGCCTATGCGGATCCTTCCATATACTTTAAATCATCACTACATTACTTATAACACTGAATGCGATGTAAATACTCTGTCAGTAGTTGTTATACTGTATTGTTTAGGGAATAATGACAAGAAAAAGTCTGTACGTGTTAAGTACAGGCACAACCATCTGTTTAAAAAATAAATTTGGCCAAGCACAGTGGCTCATGCTTGTAGTCCCAGCACTTTGGGAGGCCGAGGCAGGAGGATCACCTGAGCCCAGGAGTTCAAGACTACCTGGGCAACATGGTAAGAACCCGTCTCTACAAAAAAATACAAAAATTAGCTGGACGTGGTGGTGCACTCCTGTAATCCCAGCTACTCTGGAGGCTGAGGCAGGAGAACCGCTTGACCCTGGGTGGTCAAGGTTGCAGTGAGCCAAGATCATGCCACTGTACTCCAGGCTGGGCAACAGAGTGAGACCCTGTAAAAAAAAAAAAAATCCATTGATGAGAAACCCACAGATACAGAGGGCTGATGGTACATGCACAATGGAATATTATTCCAACATAAAAAAGAAATCCTGACATTTATGACAACATGGGTGAACCTGGAAGGCATTTTGCTAAGTGAAATAAGTCAGATAAATACTGTATGACATCACTTATATATGGAATCTAAAAAAGTTGAACTCATAGAAACAGAGAGTAGTATGTGGTTGCCAGAGGCTGAGAGGTGGAGGATATCTGGAGACGTTGGTCAAAGAACACAAACTTTCAGTTATAAGATGAATAAGTTCTGGGGATCTAACATACTGCATGGAGACCATAGCTAATAGGAATGTACTGTATACCTGAGGGGTCGGGGGAGAAGAGAACAAAAATAAAAACAAAAAAACAAATGGATCAGGTACAGTGGCTCACGCCTGTAATCCCAGCACTTTGGGAGGCCAAGGCGGGCGGATCATGAGGTCAAGAGATCAAGACCATCCTGGCCAACATGGTGAAACCCCATCTCTACTAAAAACAGATTAGCCCGGCGTTGTGGCACACACCTATAGTCCCAGCTACTTGGGAGGCTGAGGCAGGAGAATCACTTGAACCCAGGAGGTGAAGGTTGCAGTGAGTCGAGATCGTGCCATTGTACTCCAACCTGGCAACAGAGTGAGACTCTGTCTCAAAAAAACAAAAATAAAAACAAATGAACAAAAAAAGAATGTATTGTACACCTAAAATTTGCTAGGAGAGTAGATCTCAAATGTTCTCACCATACATACACGTTAACTATGTTAGGTGACAGATATATTAACTGACTCGATTGTGGTAATCATTCCATAATATATATTTCCGTATATCAAATCATCACATTGTATACCTTAAATATATATAATCTTATTTGCCAGTTATAAATGTGTTATAGTTTTATGTCAATAAAGCTGAAAGAAATTCCTCTCTGTGTGTACATATATCCATAAGTTTTAGTGACTTTTTAAATATAAGATTTTAAAATGTAGAATTTATGAAATTTATATGTTTAAAATCTTAATAGCTACTTCAAAAAGGTTATAACAGTGGGCAATCTGAAAATAACATACCAT